GCACCGCACCCCCCGCCTGCAACCCCCGCTTCACCGTGGATGAGGTGCCCACCCCACAGCCTGCCACTGTCCAGGCCCAGCTTCTGGGCGCACCCCTGCTGTTGGCCGGGCTTGTGGGCATGGACGATGATGAGGAGGAGGAGGAGGGGGTCCAGGAGGAGGAGGTGACAGTTGCGTCATTGAGCGCTGCCTGGCCAGGCACCAAGAGACCAGGGCCACCCTCGCATCAGGGCGCCCTGCCCCTGCTGCCTGTTCCCCGCTGGCGCCGGCGCCGGGCATCCTCCCACCTGCTGCCCGCTGATGTGGTGTACGACCACGCCCTCTGGGGCCTACACGGTTACTACCGGCGCCTCAGCCAGCAGCGGCCCTCAGGCCAACACCCCGTCCCTGGGAGCCGAAGAGCCTCGGGTTCCACAGCTGGTCCCGGGATGCCTGCCCGCATGCGCCCACTGTCCCGCAGGCGCCAGGTAGCCCTGCGCCGCAAGTCAGCCGGACCCCAGACCTGGAGTGCCCTGCTTGTGTAGGTATAGCTGCGGCCAGCAGGGCGAGTGGTGTGACCTCTGGAGGGCTGCCGTGAGGGCCTCTGGCTCAGGAGTGGCTCTGGGCCATGGTCTGAAGCCCGTGCACCACAGAAGGGCTGTGAGGAAGGCTCAGTCTCCTTGGGGATCTTTCAGAGTCTTGGGCTCCATGGGGCGTCCTCTACCCTCCCTGTTGCCCTCCCTGTCTTGGCCTGGAGTTGAGGTCACGATGAGGGCAGAGATCCCAGGTGAGAGGAAGGAAGCAGAGTCGCCAAGTGCTCAGCCAGCCTCAGCGTTCTCCTTTTCTGTAGGAAAGCCATCACAAAGTCGGGCCTCCAGCACCTGGCACCGCCTCCTCCTGCTCCTGGGGCCCTGTGCAGTGAGCCTGAGCGGCAGATCCGGAGCACTGTGGACTGGAGCGTGAGTGGCCCGGAGCTGGGAGGGGTAGATGGGGACCAGCCCTGCACCAGGCTCAGGGCCACAGGAACTGCCGGGGTTGGAGGTACTGTGGGCAGCTGCAAGAGGCCTGTGGGACCTTTGGGGTCAGGCCAGACTGTCTGGGGTGGCCACGGTTGAGCCAGTCCTTAAAGCAAAGGGACAGTGGGGAAAACAGGATGGAGCAAAGTAGATTGTGGTGGCTGGAGCAGATCTGTCTTGGGAGAGGGAGGGTTGGTGGGGTAGGGCAGGGGTGGACTGGTGGTCTGGGCAGCAGACGTGAAATGAGCATGCTCCTCCCATGGTTTAGGAGTCGGCGACGTATGGGGAGCATATATGGTTTGAGACCAACGTGTCGGGGGACTTCTGCTATGTTGGAGAGCAATACTGTGTTGCTAAGATGCTGGTGAGTGAGCTTGGGGTGGCACGCTGCCCCCTGGTGGTGGAGCCGGGTCTAGAAGCCTATATGCTGGCTTGAGTGCCCCTGCTGTGGGCTGCCCAAGGATGGCGAGAGGAATGGGGGCTGTGTTCTGATGCCAGGGCTGGGGCTTCCCTGCACATAGAGGGCAGCTTTGCTGGGGCAGGTGCCAGGATTTCTCTGCCTGCCGTGAGGCAGCATCCTGGATGGAGTTACCTAGTGCCTCAGGAGCCCTCTCTTTTCTGCAGCAGAAATCAGTGTCCCGGAGAAAGTGTGCCGCCTGCAAGATTGTGGTGCACACCCCCTGCATTGAACAGCTGGAGAAGGTGAGTATGGTTCTTAGGCTTTCCTGTCCCTCCCCTCTGAGTACACACAAGTTACCTGTACATGTACACTCATGTTACACAGACATCGCCTACCAGGGGGCCCTACTGTGCAGGGTGGTGAAGAGCCAAGGACCCTGGAACCAAAAGGACTGCATTTGCAGCCTGACTCCCCCCCTTTTATTTGCTGCTGTGTCCCCACTGCTCAGAACAAGCCTGGCACAGAGTAGGGCTCGTTAACTAATACTCTACAAGATGAATTCATGAATTACTTCATGAATGATGGCCAAGACATAATTTTGTCAGTTCCCAAACTAACACTTAGAAGGGACCATTGCCTTGTGGAAGCTTCTTAACTCAGCTGTGTCTAGGCCTGTCCTGTGTAGCCCTGAAGCCAAGCTCTGTCCCCTGAAGACTGCCACTGTAGAGACCATACCCCAAGGACCATTGTCCACAGCATGTGTGCAGCTGGGGGCACATCTGGGCCCCTAGCTTCTAGAGAGGGAGGTAGAAGGAATGCTGGGCAGGGGGTTCCAGGCAGAGGGTGGGAGGGCTGCCATGGCCCTTAGGGTTCCCCAGGCGGCAGAAACCCAGACCAGCGTAAGAGAAATCCCGTAGGCCTAGGAATGGCAAGAACAGGGCTAACATGGACTGCTTCCCCCACTCCCTGACTCGTAGGGTGAGATTTCCCACCAATTTTTTGCTAAGGCTGGAGCAGGGACAGTTAGAAAAAGAAAAACAAATGTAGCCCCAGGCGCTTAAGACCCAGCACCATCCGCTAAGGTGAAAATCAAACCAGGATTCCACAAATGAGCTAAGATCTCCAGGAACCAGTCAGCAAGCAAGGAGTGGGCTGCCTGTACGACCTAAGTTGGAAGTGCTGAAGGGTGAGGAAAAGTATAGGAGGGGTAAACCTTGGTGCCAATTTAGTCGGGGAGATAGATACAGAACTTGTGGTCTCCCTCATCCCAGAAGACTGGGCAGGGGAAGGAAAGGTTCCTTCTGGAGAGGCGCAGGGGTGCCAGAGAGCTTCTCAGTACAGGTGTCTCACATTCTCAGGGCTCCTGGAATGATTGGTGGCTTTCCTTACCTTGTGAGGATGATTCTGAGTGACCCTCTCCTGGAGTGGGTGGACAAACGCCTGACCCCACAAAGGGAGTTCTGATGTTTTGGTGATTGTTGCAATGTTTCACAGATAAATTTCCGCTGTAAGCCATCCTTCCGTGAATCAGGCTCCAGGAATATCCGTGAGGTAAGTGCCCAGGATAGTCAGGGCCCCAGTTATCCCGAGTGGACCTCTCTGCAGTGTCTTCAGAGTGCCACCAGGGGGTCAGCTCCTTCTAGACTGCTCTGGGGCGCAGGGTACAGGCTGAGACTCTGAGGCTCTCAAAGGGGCAGGCCTGGCCTGCCCTGCCTGCAGAGAGGTGGGGCACCAATGGCCTTTGTGCCTGCTAGCTCTCTCTGTCTTTCCTCTGAGCCTGAGCCCCTCCCTCCAGGCCATGAAGAGAAATCTTCAGGCCCTTCTCACTTGCATGTAGGACTGCAGAGAGCTTCCCGCAGCGCCAACCTCACTGTTGCTATATTGAGGGGTTCAGGCCATACTCAAGGCTCCCACCCCTTACTTACTCCAATGATGCTTCTCTCCTCCACCAGCCAACCTTTGTGCGGCACCACTGGGTACACAGGCGACGCCAGGATGGCAAGTGTCGGCACTGTGGGAAGGTGAGGCCCAGTCCAAGGAAGCTGACTAGCCTGCTGCCCACTGGTTCTGGGCCCTGCGGCCCCCTAAGCCTTGTGTGGCCCATCCATCACTGACTGCATACCCCAAGTGCAGAGTCCCAGGGCCAGCCTGGCTGTGGTGCTCAGTCAGTGCCAGAACACCCAGGTCCCTGGGCTGAGCCGGGGAGCAGAGGGGAAAGCTTTCTTCTAGAGCAGGGTATCTGTTCTGAAGTCAAGATAGAGCCCTTTGAGAAGCGTATAGACTTCTTTATTCATTAACTCAGCAGATGCACACTGAGCACCTACTGGATGCCAAGCACCGAACTGGGTAGCGGGTCCCTGTCCTCCTGGAGGAGGTGTAGCTCCCAGACACACTGCTGGCCGTCTTCCTGAGCACAGTCCACAGTGGTTTTGCTGACTTATTTGTCGTTTTCTTCTTGTGTGTCTCCCCCTCAGTAAGTGCAGGCTCCGGGAGGCTGAGAGGCCTTGTCCCTCTTTCCTCCGTTCACTCTGTGTCCAGCGGCATCTGGCACACAGTAGGCCCGCAGTAAACATGCATGGGATGAACAGGGGAATGAATGTGATTGGTACTATAAAGACTTGAAGAGCACACCACGTGGCCTGGTGGGTCTGGGCTTGGGAAGGAGGGATCGGAGTCAGGTAGGCGTTATCTGTGGACCCACTTCCAGCAGATCATACGTGCTACCTGACACTTTGCAATTAACTTCAGAGTCCTGGGTGCCTGGCTCAGCCTCCTGCTCTGTAACTGTAAACTCATTTTACAGTTCTTTTATTTTTAAAAAATGTGCTCAGTTTCTCTGGGTGGAGAGAGGTTAGTAACAGACAAGGACAGGTCTGCTGCTCTGGGCCCGGCCCCGGTGCCCTGACCACCCTGTCCACCCTAGGGCTTCCAGCAGAAGTTCACCTTCCACAGCAAGGAGATTGTGGCCATCAGCTGCTCCTGGTGCAAGCAAGCAGTGAGTGGTGCTCACCCTGCCCCCTCAGGCTGTGCCCTGGGCTATGCTGAGTTGGGGTCCCCAGATCTCAGCTCTGTCCGGCTCAGCCACGCCCACCACTCTCCTCTAGTACCACAGCAAGGTGTCCTGCTTCATGCTGCAGCAGATTGAGGAGCCATGCTCCCTGGGGGTCCATGCTGCCGTGGTCATCCCACCCACCTGGATCCTCCGAGCCCGCAGGCCCCAGGTGAGTCCTGCCTGCACATTGACAGCCCCCCACACTTGGGATCTGCCAGCCACCCCAACCCACTTGCCTTGTCAACAACACCCCTGCTTTCCTTGCAGAATACCCTCAAAGCAAGCAAGAAGAAAAAGAGGGCATCCTTCAAGAGGAAATCTAGCAAGAAAGGGCCTGAGGTTAGACCTGGGGCCCTTTGGGCAACGGGAGGGGAACAGGAGAGAGGGACCTATTTCTTGGCATACTGAGGCCCCTGGGTTGATTCTACCAGCTTAGCCATCGGTGGGTCAGTTTGGACTCTGGGGCCCTGAGGAGGGTGGGAGGTCAGATCCAAGTTGCCTCTCTGTGGTCAGACCCACTGTAAGGTCTGACCCAGAGGTGTCACTCGAGGGGGGCACCCAGTGGCATTGCTGAGAATGGGCACAGGGTCCACCAGGACAGGAAGGAGCCTTACGGGTTTTCTGTGTCTCCAAGGAGGGCCGCTGGAGACCCTTCATCATCAGGCCCACCCCATCCCCCCTTATGAAGCCCCTGCTGGTGTTTGTGAACCCCAAGAGTGGGGGCAACCAGGTACACATGTGGCCTCCACCCTTCACTGAGACCCTTGGGGGAGGGATGGGATCAAGCTTGCTGTCCCCCTCCCCGGCCCCCCCCAGCAGCTGTTCCCAGGTTCTGCTGCAGGCTTCTGCCTCCTCCCTCTTTCTGAGCGATCCTGAGAAAATCCAGTTCTGTCACCACCCATCACTTCTTCCTGTGCCTGGTTCCCACAGCCATGTCCTTCTCCCCACCTCAGCCTGCCACCCCTGACTCCCTCCTCCCTTTCCCTGTCGGCTCCTGGTCTCCCACAGGGCGCCAAGATCATCCAGTCCTTCCTCTGGTATCTCAATCCCCGGCAAGTCTTTGACCTGAGCCAGGGAGGACCCAAGGAGGCGTAAGTACTTGCCAGGGCCCTGTGGGGATGGTGATGAGGGCTCACCTGATGCTTGGGGTCTGGCACACAGACCCTGACCCCGTTCCTGTCTCCTGACCCCAGGCTGGAGATGTACCGCCGAGTGCACAACCTGCGGATCCTGGCATGCGGAGGGGATGGCACGGTGAGTGCTCCTGCCCATCCCGGGCCTGGGCCTGGGCCTGGGCCTCTCCGCTCTGACCTGACCTCCTCTGCTCTGCCCCCTCCAGGTCGGCTGGATCCTCTCCACCCTTGACCAGCTGCGCCTAAAACCACCACCACCTGTCGCCATCCTGCCTCTGGGCACTGGCAACGACTTGGCCCGCACCCTCAACTGGGGCGGGGTGAGCACCCATGGGGTGGGGAGCTGAGGTGGGTGGGTGGTGGGGGAGGCCCAGCCTCAAGAGGAGCTCGGTTCCCACCTCCTCCCACCAGGGCTACACAGATGAGCCTGTGTCCAAGATCCTGTCTCATGTGGAGGAGGGCAACGTGGTACAGCTGGACCGCTGGGACCTCCGTGCTGAGCCCAACCCTGAGGCGGGGCCTGAGGAGCGAGATGAGGGCGCCACCGACCGGGTGGGTCAGCAGGGCGGGCTGGGGGTGTCTGGGATTCTGGGGCCTTGGGCCGGTCTTCATTTCTCCAGACTTTGGCCTCTTCACAGGAAGACGGAATAATGGCACTCACCTCACAAGACACTTGTTAGCCACTTGGCACACATTTACCGAGTACCTATCGCTGTTGGGCACTGTTCTAAGCAGAGAACAAAACCAAGTCCCCACTTCCATGGGCTCCTACAGAAACATCAGGGGAGGAGGGTCATGGGGGAGGTGAAGCCTGGGAAAGGGATGCTCTTGTGTGCGGGGCACTCGGAGCCTCCCAGGAGCGGAGATGGCAGGGCCTGAGGTGGGCAGGCTGGGGAAGAGCTTCCTGGATGTAACCTGTGGAAAAGGCCACTGAAAACACAGGGGCTGAGCAAGCACAGCAGCCCTCATGCTGGTCCCTCGGCCTTTCTCCAGCTGCCTCTGGATGTCTTCAACAACTACTTCAGCCTGGGCTTTGATGCCCACGTCACCCTGGAGTTTCACGAGTCTCGAGGTTGGCAACATTTTGCTGAGGAGGCCTTGGGAGGCCAGGGAGGGAGGGATACAGGAGGGTCCCCAAGCCCTCTCTCCCTACCCCAGCCTGGGAAACCCCAGCCTGGGAAGCCCCAGCAGGCTCAAAACTATTGACTGTCCCCTATTTTTTGTCACCACCCAGAGGCCAACCCAGAGAAATTCAACAGCCGCTTTCGGAACAAGATGTTCTATGCCGGGGTGAGTCTAGGGGTCTGCCAGCTACAACCCACTACTCCTACACTCACCTGTCCTACCACCCATGCCTCCCACCTGCCTGTGTCTACCTGGCCTCAGGACCCCTGCCAGGCAGTGGTGAAGGAAATCCCCTGTCACCAGATGGTGACGCCCTCTGTCTCCCACAGACAGCCTTCTCTGACTTCCTAATGGGCAGCTCCAAGGACTTGGCCAAGCACATCCGCGTGGTGGTGAGTGGGCCATGGTGGTGAGTGGGCCACGCTGGTGGGCGGGCCCAGCAGGAGGGAGACCACCTCGGTACATATACCCTCAACACCCTCTGCCATTCCTGCCTCCAGTGTGATGGGACAGACCTGACCCCCAAAATTCAGGACCTGAAACCCCAGTGCATTGTTTTCCTGAACATCCCCAGGTGAGGAGGGAAGGGCTCTATGTGGGCCCTGCTGTCTCCATCCTGTAAGACTGTCCTCTGAGGCCCATTGTCTTACCCTCCCCTCCAGGTACTGTGCAGGCACCATGCCCTGGGGCCACCCTGGGGAGCACCATGACTTTGAGCCCCAACGGCACGATGATGGCTACCTCGAGGTCATTGGCTTTACCATGACGTCCCTGGTGAGTGGCCCAGCACAGGGACTGCCCAAAGCCCGGGCCCTGCTTTGCCCTCTGTCCCCACAGTGCCCAGGAAGAGAGGGGGTGACCAAAATTCCTTTCCTCGGCCAGGATGGGAGAGTTCACCCTCTCCTCCTTTCTCTGGCTGGGGTCTCACCCTCCCTCCGTTCTCTGTCCGGGGGTCACTCTCCCTTTATCCTCTGGCCAGAGTATCCCTGGGAAGAGCAGAGCCTGGGATCCCACCAGCCCTACCCTGGCCCCTGACCTGAGCGTCCTGCACCCACAGGCAGCACTGCAGGTGGGCGGGCACGGTGAGCGGCTGACACAGTGCCGAGAGGTGCTGCTCACCACATCCAAGGCCATCCCAGTCCAGGTGGATGGTGAACCCTGCAAGCTCGCAGCCTCACGCATTCGTATTGCCCTACGCAACCAGGCCACTATGGTGCAGAAGGCAAAGCGGCGGAGTGCCACCCCCCTGCACAGCGAGTATGTCCCCCACAGCCACCCCCTGAGGCCAGACTGCCCCTCCCTAGCCTCGGTCTCCCCATCCAGAAAGGAGGCTAACAGTTCCCTAGAGCAGCTGGGAGGGGGCACGTGGTTCAGGGACTGGCAGCCTGGGCTGGGCCCTTGCCAAGTGCCGTGTGGTCGCCCCGCCCACAGCCAGCAGCCGGTGCCGGAGCAGCTGCAGATCCAGGTGAGCAGGGTCAGCATGCACGACTACGAGGCCCTGCACTACGACAAGGAGCAGCTCAAAGAGGCCTGTGAGTGGCCAGCAGGGCTGAGGGTGCAGAGGAGCCGCCGGGTCCCCTGAGGGCAGGGTGGTGGGGTGCAGCCAGCTGACGGCCACTCTTTCCTCCAGCTGTGCCACTGGGCACTGTGGTGGTCCCAGGAGATAGTGACCTGGAGCTGTGCCGCGCCCACATCGAGAGACTCCGGCAGGTGAGGAATGTGCCGAGGGCCTGCCCATGCTGTCCCCGCCTGCTCCAGGCTCTGGTCGTCCCCAGCCCTGGCCTTTGCTTCTCTTGACAGGAGCCCGAAGGTGCTGGAGCCAAGTCCCTGACGTGCCAGAAACTGTCCCCCAAGTGGTGCTTCCTGGATGGTGAGTGGCCCCAAAGGGCCAGCTCATGGCAGTTCCGGGCCTTGTCCTGCCCCTCCCTAGGGGGTCCTGGGTGGGGCAGCAGAAGACCTGGGCCTGGACAAGGGCCCCTCCCTCAGCTAACCCTCTCCCTACAGCTACCACTGCCAGCCGCTTCTATAGAATCGACCGGGCCCAGGTGAGCACTCACAGTCCTGCTCCATCCACCATGGGTTCCGGGGGCCCCAGTGTCACCTCTTCTGCTAGCCCACCCTCCACAGTCAGGCACACCCCGCCCTCATGTTCCCTAGTGCCTTCGCACTGGCCCATGTCCATGGATGGGAAATGCACAGGGATGGTGCTAACAGGAAGAGGGAGCTGGTGTACCCAGAAAAGTCTCTCCGGGTGGGTGGAAGGGCCTTGAAGCATGGGGATCATCCAGCAAGACACAGAAAAAAAGGCACTTCTGGCCAGAGGCCAGGTCACCTGAGTAAAGGTTTAGCAGTGGGAAGGGGCTGACAGGCTGGTGAGCCACTGGGTCAGAGGTCAGGAGCTGGGTCAGGTGGCGGGAGAGGAAAGGAAGGGGATGGGGAGGTGAGGGGACGCAGGACTGGCAGGGCCACTGGCCTGGCTGCCTCCTGTCAGTGTTCATGCTCGCAGCAAAGGCTTCTCCAGGTCTGTTGGCCTTGCTGCCCCTTCACTCCCACCGTCAGCTACCCTGCTGGGCCCTGACCCTCGGCCCTGACCTCCCCACCCACAGGAACACCTCAACTATGTGACTGAGATTGCACAGGACGAGATTTATATCCTGGACCCTGAGCTGCTGGGGGCATCTGCCCGGCCTGACCTCCCAACCCCTACTTCCCCTCTCCCCACCTCGCCCTGCTCGCCCACGCCCCGGTGAGTCCCCAGTTTCCTCCAGCCCCCTGGCCCTAACCACCACCTCCTCAAGCCGCCAGCTCCTTAAGTCCTGCCTTCAGACCTGACCACTTCCCCAAGCACCAGATGTACACGTGTAGCTGCCTTCCGGGTCCCCACCAGCCCTGCCCTGCTGACTCATGGGGAGCAAACTAACCCTGGCCACAGTCCAGCCAGCAAGCACCCTGCCCCCTGGGAAGTGGCGTCACCATCTGCGCTGCTGCACCGGCCAAAGACCTGGGCTTCCTCCCTGGCTGCTCCCCACCCACCACGTCTAACCTTTCACAGGATCTGTCAGCTCCCCACCAACATCCGAGCACACCACCCGTCCACACCACCTCACCCCTGGCCTCCTGCTCTCTCCCCAGCCTGGAATCTTCTCTCCCAGCAGCCTGCAGTCATGTGCCCTCCCCTTGTACCCAGTCATTTCAGTTCATTTCATCCTATGCTGCCTGAGCATGCTGGCCTCCGACCCCACCCTTCCCCTCCATCACCACAGTCCAGCCCCACTCGCCTCTCAGTTCTTTGAGACCTCAAGTTTGCCTTCTTCCAGACTTGTCCTTGTCGCCTCAGACACGCCTCCCAGATCTTCACAGAGCTGCCCCTCCATTCACTAGCTGTGGTGTTTCCTCAGAGAAGTCTTCCAGGAACCCAATCTGAAGTTGCTGTTCAATGACACTACCCTGTCTCATATTCTTTGCAGCACTTCCTGCTCTCTCACAATACCTCATTTATTTGTTTGCTTGTCTCTCTGACTAGAATGTAAGCTCCCTGAGAACAAGTTCTCCACCTGTCATGTTTACTGTTGCATCCAGCGCTCAGAATAGCACTTAACATGTAGGAGGCACTCAATAAACTTCTGAGAACAAAGGGTGCCCCGGGTTGGGGCCGGGGAGGGTGACAAGCTGGGCCTGTGCTGTAGCCCTGTCCCCCATAGCCCTGTCCCATCTCATCCTGCTCTGTTTGCAGGTCACTGCCAGGGGATGCTGCGCCCCCTAAAGGTGAGGCCTCTCCCTGCGGGGCCCCTACTTTCTCCCTGGTTATAGAACTGTGTCTCAGGGGGTGGGGTAGAGGCCATATACAGCCTTACACAAACACAGCTATGGCCACATTCACCGTGAGCCCACAGCCCTTGGCATATGTGCCCCAACAGGCCCATTTCTCTGCACAATAGCACATCACCCATATGTTCACACACCAACACAAGGCCAGGCCTCCAATCCCAGAGTGTAACGGGCAGGTGTTCCGTGCAGGTGAAGAGCTGATTGAGGCCGCCAGGAGGAACGATTTCTGTAAGGTACTAGTGCCAGGGCTCGGGCTTCTTCCCCTTGGCAGCCCCTCAGGCCCTGGGGAATGGGGCCTCTGGGTTGGGCCAGGAGCAGCTCTGTTCAGGTGCAATCATGTCTCAGTGCCTGGCCATCTACAGGGTCTCCATTGTGATTGTTCCATTCTGCCTTACCCTGGTCCCTGTCTGGCCCATAACAGTGTCCTTCTGTAGGGGCTTCCTAGCTCAGTCCACCTGTCCCCAGTGCTCAGAAAGGATCAAGTCTTAGAGGAACCGCAGGCTCCAGGGCTCGGTTGTCAGTGCTTCCACAGAGTCCGGGGCTGCTTGGGGTGAGAGAAGCCCATCATCTCTCCCCTGCACTCCAGAAAGACCCCCGGAGGCTCCTAAGAAGCCTGAGGCCTGTGTGAGTTGGGGGGCGCTTCTGTGGCTGGAAAGGAGGGTGGTCTAAGGAGCCCCAGCGCTGCTCTGCTTCCCGCCCTCAGCTCCAGGAGCTGCACCGAGCTGGGGGTGACCTCATGCACCGTGACGAGCGGGACCGCACACTCTTGCACCACGCGGTCAGCACTGGCAGCAAGGAAGTGGTCCGCTACCTGCTGGACCACGGTAAGCTGTGCTGCTGGGGCCCCCGGGGGGAGGGAGAGACTGCCAGGCCTCTCTGACCTCCCCCTTCCTCTTCTCCAGCCCCCACAGAGATCCTTGATGCTGTGGAGGAAAAGTGAGTATCTGGGCGGTGCAGGGCCCTGGTTACCCTGGAAACCGCCCTCCCTGTCAGAGCCCATAAATCCTTTCTGGCCACATCTGTTGTCCTCTGGGCCACCCCCACTTGCCCCAGGACCCTGAGTTTCCTGCCCTTTCTGATGGCCCTCGGGAGACAAGAGGGCCCAGAAAACTGGATGGAGTCCACAGCCAGCCCCTGTTCCCCCAGTGGGGAGACTTGTCTGCACCAGGCGGCAGCCCTGGGCCAGCGCACCATCTGCCACTACATTGTGGAGGCCGGGGCCTCGCTCATGAAGACAGACCAGCAGGTGAGCAGACTAGCAGGGCAGGGAGGGAATCCACACAAGCACAAAGAATCCCTTTCCCAAACTTGCCCTTGTAAGAGGGGAGCCTTGGGGGAGGGCCACCTCTGGGGATTCAAAGCTGTCTACAACCAACACAGTCCAGACCCTGAGAACCCAAGCCAGCAGGGCTGGGGCTGCCTGACCCCAGGGGAAGAGCTCCTGTCTTCTAAGCCTGTTGGAGCCCACAGGTTCCTGAACTGACAGCAGCTCCCCCCTCATCCAGGGCGACACTCCCCGGCAGCGGGCTGAGAAGGCTCAGGACACCGAACTGGCTGCGTATCTGGAGAACCGGCAGCACTACCAGATGATCCAGAGGGAGGACCAGGAAACGGCTGTGTAGCTGTGAGGCCAACACCGGAGCAGCAGGAAGGATGAGCCGGCCAGAGGATGAGGCCAGAGGATGAGTCCCTCCTCGCGCACCTCACTGCCACATTCCAGTCGGACAGCCACAGGGACGGGCAGAGGGGCCCCAGGCCCCAGGAAAGGAGCCCTATGCTGCCCCCTGAGAAGCTGCCCAGACCTAGGGCTGGACTCTGAGGAGCTGGGGAGTCTCACCTGTCCCCCTGAGGCCCCAGCCGAACCCAGAGGCCCACAGGGGAACAGGAAACTGGACTGGGCTGGGCAGGCCTTTGCAGGGCTGGGGCTTGGCCACTTCAGAGCGGCCCTGATCTTCACTGCAGCGGGTGTCCTGGAGCTTAGGAGCTGCAGCCAGGAGGACAGAGGGCTTGAGGACCTATCAGGGAGCCTTCAGGAAGAGGCTTCCTAAGCCTCCTGGTCCTTCAGGACCCCCACTCTGAGGCTCCTGGGAGCTTGGGCCCCCTCTCCTGCCCTGACCCCACCCTCCCCAGGGCTTCCTCCTGGAAACATGGAGCCTGCTGCGTTTGCCTGCCCGCTGCCCTGCTTAGCACCTACCACGTGACCTCCTCCTGTACCCAAGTCATTTCACCTCGACTGTGTGGCCTGGGGGTTGGGATGGGGCTCTCACAGAGACATGTTTACAGCTGGGTGTGACTCAGTAAAGTGATTTTTTTTCCTTTCTGCTTTTCTTTTTTCCCCGGGGAGGTCTTCCAGAAGTAGCAGGGATCTACCTGGTTATCCTCGGTGGGGGACTGGACACCGTTGACCCAGACCCGTATCAGGGAGCCCTGGTTTAGGGGTGGGATCCGAGGGGCTGCCTGGGACCTGACCTCTGCCCGGCTGCCTCGCCCGTCGTGGCCAGGGGGAGGAGCTGATTTCTTCTAGCTTCCCGCTTCCCGCTGGGATGGTAACAATGAAAGTTAAAGAAGTAGAGCAGGGAGCGAGGCCTGGTTTCTTGGGCCCATTGGCCCTGTGACCTAGGGCAAGCCCCCTCCCCCTGGCCTCAGTTGCTTTGGCTGTCGGATGAGGTGATCCCCGAGGCCCCAGAATAGAAAGGGGTTGGCATGTGCAGCCGCTGCCGGGCCGGGTCTGGAACTTCTCAGACGGCTCTTGTCAGCTCCAAGTCTTACCAAATACAGGCCCCCGACTCCCCCACCCCGCCAACCTGCTCTCCGCGAAAGGCGCAGGGGCCTCGACGCCCCCCGACCCGTGCGCTTTTTCTGAGGCTCCCTGTCCCAGCCCCCCACCCCCAACACTAAGCCGAGCATCTCCCTGCACCCTTGGCGAGGCGCTCCGAGGTGGAGGCTGGCGCTCCTTCTCCAGCATCTAACGGAGCGCTGAGGACAGCGGGCCCTGGGAGATGGAGCGGAGCCTCGACGGGGTTCAACCGAGCACCCAAGGGCTCAAGGGACGGAGCCGCACACAGGCTCGAATGAGGGACCCCGCGCCGGGACCTGGGACTCACCCGGGGCTCTGTGCTCCCTCCCGGTCTCCACCTAAGGCTCGGCAACTGGGAAGGGAAGCTGGCGTCCAGCTGGGAAAGGGGACGGCCCCACGGAGGGAGCAGAGGGCGGGGAGGGCAAGCAGGGGTTGGGGCCGAGGGAGCCTGAGACTGGGATCGGGGACATGGGGTGCCAAGGCAGGACGGAGTCCCATGGGCCGTGAGGGCCCGGGTTCGGAGGACGGGGGTCCAGGAGAGCACGGCGCCTGTAGGCAGAGCGAAGCGGCCGGGCGAGGCGAGGGTGTGGGG